TTGCGGCTTTTCAAAGTTTGAAAATTGGCCTCCAATTGACCTCGTGTTGGTGCGATTAGTGTGGAGGGATTCAAAAAACGAACTTTCTTTCATAAATCCACATAAATCCAACGTCTTTAGAAACTTTTTCTAGTTGAAAACTATTTTCGAAAGATCAAACCATTCGCGTTATTCGAAGCTGTAAATTTTGATAATCGGTTTAAAATTGACCTCGGTTTGATCTGAATAGTGTGGAGGAATCCGGAAATCAAACCTGCTCGGACAAATCCGGCGGTAGTTACCACGCCTTTAGAAACTCTTTATATGAAGCGTTTTTATGTGCGTTTTTCAGGTTTTTGAGTTGAAAAAACCGGTCCCTAATTGGCCATGTTTTGGTGTGGATAGTGTAGAGGGATTCGAAAGTTGAACCTTGCCGGATAAATCCCACGAAACTTTCAACCTCTTTGGAAACTTTCTGCTTTTGAAAAGTATTTTTAAAAGTTCAAACTTATAAGGCTTTTCAGAGTTTAGAATTAAAAAACAGCCCCAATTAGCTTCGTTTTGGTGTAAATAGTGTGGAGGGATTCGAAAGTTGAACCTTGCCGGATAAATCCCACGAAAGTTGTAACTGCTTTAGAAACATTCTCAAGTTGAAAAGCATTTTCGAAAGATCGAACCTTTCGCGTTCATCGAAGCTTTCAATTTTTATAATCGGTGGCAAATTGGCCTCGTTTTAAACTCAATAGTGTGGACGAATTCGGAAAACAAACCTGCTCGGATAAATCAGGTCATAGTTACCATGTCTTTAGAAACTTTATATTTGATCATCATTTTTTAAATATCCAGTTTTTCGAATTCTTCTCATTTCCAAAGTTTGAAATATTAGGCCCCCGATTGGGCTCGTTTTGGTGTGAAAAGTGTGGACGGATTCGACAATCAAGCCTTGCCGGATAAATCCTGCGGAAATTTCAACGTCGTTAGAAACTTTGCTCATTTGAAAACGTTTTTTGAAAACTCGAACTTATCGCGTTCTTCAGATTTCTGAATTTTAAACACGAACCTTTAACCGGCCTTGCTATGATGGAAATAGTGTGGAGGACGTCGACAAACGACGCTTTGCGGATAAATTTGGCTCTGGTTTTATAATCTTTAAGAGGTTAAAAGGTGAAGAGTGTGGAGGATTAAAAAAAAATCCTTGGCAAAATCCGGCGCTGGTTTCAACATCTTTCGAAAATTTCCGCATTTAAACTCTACTTTCGACACAGTAAATTCTGCGCATTTTTCAGTCTCTAATTGACCTCGTGTCATAGTATATAAAAAGTGTGGAGGGATTTAAAAACAAACCTTCTTTCATAAATTTACTGGCTGCTTCTCCGGTTGTAGAAACTTTCGACATTTGAAAACCATTTTTGAAACCTGAAAGTTATTGCATTTTCAGATGTTTGAGTTTAAAAAATCGGTTCCTAATTGGCTTTGTTTTGGTGTGGATAGTGTGGAGGGATTCGAAAGGTGAGCCTTGCCGGATAAATCCCACGAAACTTTCAACCTCTTTGGAAACTTTCTGCTTTTGAAAAGTATTTTTGAAAGCTCAAACTTATAGAGCTTTTCGGAGTTTTGAATTAAAAAAAGAACGGTAATTTCAACGTCTTTCTAAACTTTTTGAACCTGAAAACTACTAATGAAAAATCAAATATTTCGGATTCTTCACATTTTTTAAGCTTGAAAATGGGCCTCTACTTAGGCATTTTTTGCGGTGGAGAGCGTGGAGGGAGTTAAAAAACTAACTTTTCTGTATCAATTCAGCCGCAATTCCCGCACCTTTCAAAACTTGCCTCGTTTGGAAACAGCTATGGAAAGCACAAGATCTTCGCTTTTGTCGATTTTTTGAAATAATATATTCGCCCCTAAATTGAGCTCGTTTGGATGAGAATAGTGTGGAATATTTCATAAGGGAACGTTCTGGAAAACATCAGGCTTGACTCTTTTCTTTAATACTTTCTTGTTGCAACGCACACCAATTCCAATGGCGGTTGAAAGGGAAATTTATTCTCTTAAAACCTCCAATAATCGAACTTTTTCAAGCACCACTAATACGAATTCAAGATTCAAAGCCAGTTGATCTGACTGTTTCCTTCAATATCAACACGACCACCAAGCAAGATGGGTTTTAATCACTTTTTTGCACAGCTGATTAGTAATAACAGCTTTTGGAATTAAAATAGCAGACGAGGAAATATGAACTAGTTGAAAGGCGTCTAGCATGGGGCCGTTTTTGTCTTAAGCGCATATCGGACAAATTAATCTTGCGACTCGATAACACTTAATAAGAGATTCCTGGCCTTATTAGAGGGAAACGAAATGCAAATGTGCTCGTAGAAGGAAGGCGACACCCATAAATTATAATATTAATTTCACGAATGTGACTAGTTGCGGTCATTAGTGGGAAAAGTTGACGGTATTGGAGCTTTTCGCTCAAATTGGTTATGACTGATATTTGGTTCTTGATGATGTAAATCTGAATACATTCTTGGAACGTAAATCACCATAAAAGCTCCAGCACTCAAACTTCTTCTCCACCTTCTCACCTTTTCATTAATATTAGTTTGTGGTCAGTTCTTCGCTCTAAATCACCCTCATGGAAGCGTAAATGTTAACAAATAAAACAAAATATATTATTCGATAATGATGAAGAACTGAACTGCAATTCGCGAACGTGATGATGCAGAATGTCTGGACTATACTCACTTTCACTTTAACCCTCTTCAGGCTGATTATAATGGCCAATCATGAGAAGAATAACTAAACGTTGACTTTGGACTAGAAGGCAACTTGAACTGGAAAATTCCCACAGTTGCCCAACGTGAAAACTCATTCCTGTTGACCTGCTGACTAATTTGGAACAATCAGAAACAAAGGACTGTAAAAGTATAACTCTTCGAAGCTGAAGCCGAGCAGTTACTTCAAGCAGTCACATTATTGACATCATGGCAAATAAGGGGGGTTTCTGTCACAATTTAGGGCGTTTAAAGAGACCATTATTATGTGAGGACACAATAGGGCAATCGAGATGTGCATATTTAAACTGGAAGGGTTACCCTTCGAAGGTTAATCGATGAGAAAAATAAGACTAATCATTTAATGCTTGAAATAATGTATCGTGCGAATATCGAATTCGCTTGTCAAGAGCGTACGCCTTTGTGGTCTGGAATAATGGCCAGGGTAATGAGTTTAGTCGATTTTTCGACTCTATTGTTCCTGACGGTGAGAATTGGTTGGGGTTTCATTTCAGGTTGAAGAGGAAAAGTCAAAAAATTCTGAAGATTTTAGTGAGTTTCTCGTCTGGAATGTCTACTGGGCAAAGTGAAGGGTTACAACAGTTTCTGAGTCTTTAGGATGGCCAGTTTTTTTTAGTCCGAAACAATTCAGAGCCAAATGGAATTGAATGCAATTTGCGCCATGTACACCTTCATCTTCTGCTGTAATCCAACCAAATCTGTCTGAATTGAACATCTTCTGCTTTTCGATAATGCCCCCCTTCTTCTTCTTTGTCTTAATTTTCTTCAGGAATTTGCAAAAAACTTGCTTTTCGGTCGCAGGGATTTGCGCCTTTTAGTTGGTCAATGTTTACCCAGCGATCTTCGTCCGTTTATTCGTTTTCGGTTATTTCCAGCAGTCATTTTGGCTTCGCTCACTTAAATAGGGTCTAAATTTTGTCTCTGTTCGATTGCGGTCCAAACATCTTCATATGTTTCTAAAGCCCTTCTCTTTTAAGGATCTATCGTAAGTTCCAAGGACATCAGAGCACATGCTTCCTTCCTACTACTAACTAATGCGGGATTTATTCGACGGGAACGATAGTTTTCGAAACTCTCCATAATCTTTATCGCGAAACTCGACAAAAGTGGAGGTTTTCAACTTGAGAACGCAGCTTTCAGATTTGCTCACTTCCTGAGGAAGCTGTACGGAACGTTCCAGGCATATTCGATTTTTGAATCCTTCCACGGTCTTCATCTCAAAAGAGATTCGACTACGAACTGCTTTCCAACTTTCCTAAACCCGTAGAAAGCGAAGGTTCAGTTCTAACAAACGAATAATTTAAATGCCTGAAGCTTCCAAAGCTGCTGCAACTGCAGTCGGAATTATTTCGAAAAGTAGGTATGTGTTTTGAACCCTCCATTTCTTTTGAAACCTTCTCAACTTCAGTTTTCATATGGAGCCAGTTACTGAAGCAGCCGGTTTTACGGCCGGATTTATGCGGGAAAGTATCACACTCTTCACCGTAAAACGGCTCCATCTAAGAACGGATTTTCACATCTTTCAAACGCTTTTATAAATGCTGGAATTTCCTCCTCAGGCTGCGGGAACTCAAATGATTTAAGTGAGTTAAAGTTTTTACGTTGCCTACAAATACAATTTTCAAATGCAAACCTGAAAGTTTCTAAAGCCGTTAAAACTGCGTCATACCAGCTGGCTTTTAAACCACTAATTCGAATTAATGCTTTTTGAAAAAGTTCGATTTGGAGCGGCCAAAAAGTGCGACTTCGATGTGAAGAAATTTCCTTTTGAAACGCTCTTGAAATTTTTAATCGTGCTCTTCCTAAAAAGAAGATTTTGAAGAAAACACTCACTCCAACTGGCCTCTAATCCATTAACCCATTTTAATGCAGTTGCCAAATTTCAATTTAGAACTGCAAAAAAAGTGCGACTTTGAGGTGAGGAAATTTCCCTTTCAAACGCCATTGAAATTGTCAGCCGTTTTGCATTTTTATATACTTAAACACGCTTGGAAAACAGCAATCAATCAATTAAATATAACAGTTGCAATCAGGATTTTAAGTGCAACTTTTAGCCCGTTTGCATGGCAAAAGATGTCCTGTTTGATAAAACCTCAACAAGGAAAACATTCTAGGAATGCTATCAAACACCTTGTGTTAAAGCGCGCTCACAATTAGAGAATTCTTGCCTAGTTCAAACCCATGTCTTAACCTCACTTTACAACATCAGTTTTTCGTTGTTTCCAGAATGCAACAGCAGCAACTGGCAGCGCAACTCGCCCACCATGGCGGCGACCGAAGGGCGCCCATGAGCCCAGCGCCCACAGATAGTGACTCGGATATTTCGCTGGGCGCCCACTCGCCAGCAGGATCGCCAGGGCCGCTGCGGATGGGCGTTGCGAGCCCCAATCCCATCACCTCCTTCAGGTTCGGGCCCCATTCGCCCGGTCCCATGCCGGCGCAGTTTCGATTCGACGGCACGCACACATCGCCTAACTATCGGTAAGCAACAGGAAAAATCTGGGAAAGGTTTCGATTTTGGATCATGATCAGGCAATTTTCCAGAAGTTTTTGATTTTATTTCTTCTTTCTTCGGGAGCCTTTTGAAAGGAAAAGTGAGTTCTATATGTGAAAGGAGTTTCGATTTTGACTCAGCATTAGGCAATTCTGGACGACCTTTTGAATTTTCACGTTGCGTTTGCAGGTCTAAGTTTGACCTTTATTTTCTGAGAAACTAATATGCAAATTCCCTAGTTCCGGTTTTTTTTATAAGGCAAAGTTCTTTTTGTGGAGAAAGTTTCAATGTTGCGTTCAGTGCGTTTTTGAATGTGGTTTTGCAGGCCTAAGATTCTCATTTATTTTCTCAAAAACAAGTAAAGTTCCAGATTTACTTTCGGGAACCTTTTGCATGGAAAAGGAAGTTCTTTATGTGAAGAACTTTCGATTTTGACTAGTCAACAGGCAATTTTGGAGGAGTTTTTGAATGTGCTTTTGATTTGATTTTTTACGTTGCTTTTGCAGGGCTAAGTTTCATATTGATTTCCTCAGAATCCAATGAACCTGGAAATTTGCTCTGGTTTCATTTTGCAATGCCATGTGCGTTCTCTATGAGGAAAAAGTTTCAATTTTCACTTATCATCAGGACATTTTTGAGGATTTTTTAAATGTGCTTTTGATTTTTGATGTTCCTTTTGCAGGCCTTCGTTTCTCAATTATTTTCTCAAAAACAAGTAAAGTTCCAGATTTACTTTTGGGATCTTTTTGCAGGGAAAAGGAAATTCCTTATGCGAATAACTTTCGATTTTGACTAGTCAATAGACAATTTTGAAGGAGTTTTTCAATCTGCTTTAGATGTTGCTTTGCAGTTTCATATTAATTTTCTCAGAAACCAATAAAGCTGGAAATTTGTTTCTCGTTTGATTTTGTAATGCCAAGTGAGTTCTCTATGGGGAAAAACTTTCAATTTGACTCATAATCAGGACATTTTTGAGGATTTTTTAAATGTGCTTTTGATTTTTGAGGTTCCTGTTGCAGGCCTACGTTTCTCAATGATTTTCTCAAAAACCAGTAAAGTTCCAGATTTACTTTCGGGATCCTTTGGCAGGGAAAAGAAAGTTCTTTATGCGAAGAACTTTCGATTTTGACTAATCAATAGGAAATTTTGAAGGAGTTTTTCAATGTGGTTTTGATGTTGCTTTTGCAGGGATAAGTTTTATATTGATTTTCTCAGAAACCAATAAAGCTGGAAATTTGCTTCTGATTTCATTTTGTAATGTCATGTGCGCGTTCTCTATGAGGAAAAAGTTTCGATCTGCACTAGTTCCTTCTGTACGCCTAAGTTTCTCGATAATTTTCTCAGAAACTTACAAAGGTTCAGATTTTCTTTTGGGATCGTTTGGTAGGGAAAAGTGAGTTGTGTATGTAAAAGGAGTTTCGAATGTGACTCAGTATCAGGCAATTTTTGAAAAGTTTTCGAATGTGGCTCTGATTTTTGGCGACTATGTTCTAAGAAGAAAGCATCCCATATGAAGATTTCAGCTGCCATTTCGTCAATATGTTATTCATGCACATACACTCAGTTCACTACTTAAAAAAATCAGGCTCTCCGTCCAAAAATCTTCGTGTTTTGGCTTCAAAACAGACTCATCTTCTCTAATCAACTAAACATATTTATGTAAATTTTATACTGAAAAATTCAAAACTTATGCCATCTAAGTAGCAGTTTCAATCAAAAACTCGCCGACGAATCCCCAAGTAAACATGGTTTCGTTCTTGGAAAAATCCACAACTTTATCGGTCCAGGTTGCTAATCTCAGTAATAGTGCCACCGTTAAATTGACATCTGCATATGCGCATTTAAGCTTTATTAAGGCGTGCCACTAATAAGGCTTGTGCCTGCCGTTATTTCTGCACTTTTTACGCTTGCCACTATCAATCTACCAATTAAAGTCTTGGGAAAATCCCGCTGAGTGTAAAATCGATAAATAACGTTGGCGTTATTGTTGCCGGCAGGCATGAGCGGCAGTCGCCCACACCTCCAAATTTCCGGCTGGATCGCACAACCGCCAAGCTGGATTCGGAGTCGCCCTCGATGACCGTCGATTCTGGATCCTCCAACTACGCCGATGCCATCAATTTGAGGCTGTCGGCCAACGAGAGTCCGATCGATGTCGATTCAAACAACGACTACGACTCGGAAGTGAGGGTGAGTGTTTTATGTAGGAAATTGAAGCATATCCAGTCTGGATTCAATTTAAGCGCCAGCCGCCAACGGTCAGCCGTGCGCAATCTGAAAGGGCTTTTGCTGATGTAAACTGGTTCCTGTAAATTACTTAGGTGGCGGAAATGGGGCTTGAAGTTCTTGGGCGGTCCCTTAAAATTGATGAAAGACTAAAGAGAGCTTAAGCAGAGAGAAATAAAAGTTTGGAAATTTTTAGATTTTATTCAAATTCGAAAAGTACCTACTCCATTGAGCGCCAACTTCGCCCACATATAAAGGCGTTGCTTGAGTCTATTCGAAAGTGGCTGATAGTTTGTCAGTTTCTTTAGTTATTTTACTAGAGAGTGAGAATAGAGGATTTGCATATTTTGAGTAAATTCGTGCAGATGTTTCTAAAAATTCAGCAAATTATTTCAAAAGATTACTCTATTGAGCTCAATGTGCGCCCATATAACAAGTAATTTTTTGTCTAGTTAACGGTATAGTAGACAACCTCTCAGCTGTTTCAATGACTTATAGACGATTTTGAAAATATACCAAAGTTCGACGCAATACTCTATTGAACTCAAACTGCGCCCATATATAAAGTAATGTTCGGTCTTTTAAGCGTAAGACACAGAGTCTCTTAGTTGCCCTGCTTCAATTATTTGACTAAACAGTTTTAATGGAAACTTTACAGACCTTGAGCAAATTGAAGCAGCTGTTTTTTTGGAAACTCGTGAAAATTCGACAAATTACTTTATAAAGCCTAAACTGCTCCCACCTATACAAACACCGCTATTAAATAGTGGCCTAAAACACATTTTGGTCTTTTGGTAAGTTTGAAAGAAGAAAAGCATACTACGAATGAATAGAATGAAACTATTTTACTGCTTCATAAACCAGAAACTGTGCCCAAACATAAAATAAAATTTATCTAATAAATAGTGTTCGAAGTAGTTTACAGTTTCTCCTTCTTAGTATACAAAACAATTTTCAAAAACCGCAAACGTTGAGCAAAAGTTGGCAAATCACTCCAATGAATTGATGGATATTGCGCCCATCTATAAATCTTTTTTTATATTCAGAAATGTATCAAATGAAGCTGCAAGCAATATTCAGCTGTGTATATCAAGCAAACTTGTTTTCAAAATATTTATGCTCGCTTCAAATAACAAGTAATTTTTGAAAAAAATTGCAACACGCTAACGAATTACTTAAATGAATCCACTTTGCGCCCATATAGAAAGCGACTTTTGTTCTATAAAATGCGAGGCTAAGTAAGATTCTAACTTTTTATAGGGTCTGCAACACGTGTTTAAACATATACTTGCACATATTGAATGCAGATATTTTTGAGAGCCGGTCAAAACTCAACAAATGACTATACTGAATTGAAACTGCGCCCATATATAAAGGCATTTTGGGTCAAATCAATGGAGTTATAAGCAAGACGCTGTCTAATTTTGGGCATTTGCTAAATAAATTTTAATATGTAGTTACAACTTAAGACTCTAAAATAAACAGATTTGGAAAAATTGCCAAAATTCCACAAAACTCTGTAATGGATCCAAGTTGCGCCCAGATATAAAGGAATGCTTGCTTCTTACATTGCGACTTAAGCACCCTCGTGGCTGTTTTAAGTTGTTCCCGAAGAAATTTTGAAAATTCCCCCACAGAAGTCGGGCAAATCCAGAACAATTTTGAAAATCATCCAAAAATTGACGAATCGATTGATTTCTAATTGATGCAGCTCCCATGTATATAGATTTTCGTTCATTGGAGGAATGGTTCAAAAATTCTAGCTTCTTGGTCAAGGCCACAAAAGTCTTCCAAAATTCAGTCAGTAATTCTAGTAATCTGCAATTGCGCCCATTTAAAAACTATTGTTTGAGTTAATGAATAGGGTTATAAGCAATATCGTAGGTATGTTTTGTTGGTGGCAGTATAAATTCAAGGTGGATTGGCAATCCTAGCAGACATAAAGATAATTTTTGGAAGTTTTGCAAAAATTCAAGCCACAGCTCTGATACATTTAGACTGCGCTCATGTATAGAGCAGTTCTTGCTGGATAGAGTGCTGGTTTACACAGTATTGTATCTGCTTCAGGTCGTTCGTAAAAATATTTTGAGATAAAACTTGCCCACATTGAAGTAAATTGAAATAGTCAATTTTCGAAAATTTGTCAAAATTCATCCAAAAGCTCTAATGAACTTCACCTGCGACCATTTATAAAATAGTGTCGAGTGTCTAAAGTAATGTCATCAGAATCAGGAAATTTTGGAAAATTGACTTTTTGAAAAGCGAACAATTTTTCAAAACTCAATTCTACTCAAACTGTCCATAATTATAACACACTCTAGTAGTAAGTGAGTTTATAGCAGCGGCGATCGAAGCTAAACTCCTCATTCTCACAACTTTACTCAAAATCTCAAACCTCCTCGATTCAAGCCATTTTTTCCATTACTTTCAGGAAAACCGCAGTGGAAACAGTCCAGTTCGATTGACCAGGACCTCCCCTCAAACCACCTTGGAGCACTCCCCACCTCCCATGAACCTGAGCGGATTGAGGGCGCACTCCCATTCTGAGGGTCTGAAAATCGAGACCCCATTGGCAGTCAGATTGGGAGCGGCCAGCCAACTGCCCACCTCCCCACTGCGGGTCCAGGTGAACCCTCACCCCAACCGAATGATGACGGCATCGTCGCCCCACACCCATCTTCTGAACCATCACTCAGGAATCATGAGGATAGCGACTCAGAACCTTCAGAGCAACGGCCCAGTGTTGCATAGGCCTTACTCCCCACCGCGGTTAACGTGATATTCAGCCTTTGAGTGGGAGGACGCTGTGTGAACTTGTGGCTGATCGTCAATTCTTGCAAGGTAACGCTCAGAAGCTGAGGATGGTTAGTTTGGAGATTGACGACATTCGCCGAGTAATCTTGTTGCAATATTCTGTACAGTTTGGCTTTGGAAATTTTGAATGTACATAAACGATGCTAAATTTAAGACGATTAATATATTTTATGTTTAGGTTCTGGTTTGGCGCAGGCACGCTTCTTTCAACAGAAACCAAAGCATCCAAAAATCACGACTGTTCAAGTTTTCACGAGAATCACTAGCGAAAAATTGCTTTAAAACAACAAAGTTAGTCGATAATTTAATCTATTGTTGACCGTTGGTTTCTTTCGAAAGAGCTCTAGTGATTCAAATTGAAAGACTACACTAAACTTTTCTGTATACAGAGTGTCCGGGTTTCAATCTTCTGTTCATATAGAAAGCGCTCTGCAAACTGAGTTAAACACTTTTTTGCTAACATCTTTGAGTGTACGATTCTTTGATTGTCCAACCTCTTCTGCCACACACTCTGTATAATTTCGCTTCTGAAATCCCAGTTTGACTCAATTGTGATATTCCCCGACTATTTGAACAACGTTGCCGTGTCCCCAAACCGTTTTAGTCGCTGCACATATTTGGATTGAACCAGAAACACACTGTTTAGTTGTGGTCTTGACGATCCTCACTTGGGACGATGCTCTTTTGTATTGCCCTGTATATTGTATTTAGTTGCGAGTACACTTGTTTAAGAGAAAAGTTATGATATTTATATCGTCAGGCGTATAGTGAATATTAGAAAGTATAATATACAAAGTCATTGAAAAAACACTGTGTTTTATTTCACTGAGCGTCCAACCAAAGATTCTGAATGTAGGCTATGGAGAGTTTAAATTTGTATTAATTTTCCTACTTCGCTTGCCTTTTTATTTTGATCCAAATGTAGGGGATCGTTTGGCCTTTACTGCTTTGGTAACTACCAGACCTTCAATCAATAGCAGAAGAAAAAAGCAAAAATTCCAAAAAATGTCCCTTTGTTAGAAAACCAGCGAAGAGAGTGCAAACTTTCAGCTAAGTAGTAGAACGCCCTGTATGTAAGGGTGAATGATGCACGAGAAGCAGTTAGCCAAAAATTATTCAGCTTTAATGAGTAGGTACGTTATTCAAGTTTGCAGAGAAGGAAGAAATAAATTGAAAAACTGGCATAACATTTCTCAATTTTATCTCTTTTAATCTACAGCCAAAATCTAATTCTATACAGCCAAAATGTTGATATTTCAAGTTGAAAATAGATGAACTGAATGGAGCGAAGACATTGCTTGGCAAGAACGCGCGTAAAAAAACCGAATTTCATGTGAAAATCCGCATGAAATTTAAATTTGTATGCTCAGCATTATTGATTAACATTTTCGAACCAGAATGCCAGCTGTTGAATTAACAACAAAGTCAAAATAATTTCCCGATCAAACTGCTGTTTTGAATGTGAGCTTTTTGAATACCTTAGAAATGTTTGAAATTCGATTTACAGTCTTCGGCTCAAACGCGCGTCAAAAATAGCCAAATGCCTGCAGGAATTCGAAATTTGCAGCTTTATGAGAGCGAAGTTTTCTCATTTAAACAATGGCAAAACTGACTTGGAGTCGTGTCTCAATTTTGAGTGGCAGCTTTTTGAAAAAGTTGCTGCTAAAATTTTTTAAATTACTCTCTTGTTCAAACGGACGTAAAAAATCGTCTCAGATCGTCAAGACTTTTTTTCATCCCAAAAGAGTGGAATTTTCCTATTCTGAGTCAAGCTTCAATTTTGGGTGGCAGTTTTTGAAAAACCTCAGTACAAATTTTTGAAATTGTTATGTTTATCCTCATGTTCAACCGGGCGGAAAAAATCGACTCAGATCGTTAAAATATTGACATCAAAAGAGTGAGGTTTTTCATTTTGAGTCAAGCTTCAATTTGAAGCTCCTGAAAATTTTCGGAAATTTTATGTTTACCCTCAGGTTCCAACGTACGTATAAAATTGTCTCAGATAGTCAAGGTTTTGAAAATTTCCACCTCAAATGGGTGAAGTTTTTCTATTTTGAGCCAAGCTTCAATTTTGAGTGGCCGCTTCTGAATAAGCTTCTGTTAAAATTGTCAAAATTAAATTTTCCAACTCAAAAGGGTGAAGTTTTGCTATTTTGAGTGAAGCTTCAATTTTGAATGCCAGCGTTTGAAGAAACGATTCCAGCTCTATGTTCAAGTGCAAGTCAAAAAATATTGAAAATTCCCAATAATTTGAAATTGGCAGTACCAAAATGAGCAGGTTCTTCATATAAAAAGCACAAAAAAAATGTTCAAGCAAATTTCAGTTTTAGGTGGAAACTTTTTGAGAAGCTTCTGTTAAAAAGTTTGAAATTTCGATTTTCAGCGTTAGATTAAAAAGCGCCTCAAAGCTTAAAGAAACCCCGCAAGTATTTGAAATTTTCAGCCACACACTTAAACTTTGTGATCTAGATGCTATTAAAACTTATTATCAGTTGGGTCTCAGTTCTAAGTGGCAGCTTTTTGAAAAGTTTCTGTTAAAATATTTTAATTTTCCATTTCAGCTTCAAGTTCAAAGAAGCGTCCAAAATTATTAAAAGTCTCCAAATATTTAACATTTTTAGCTTCACAAAAATGCAATTTTTTTATTAAGGTAGGTACTGCTCAAATAATTTCTTAACAAATCCTGGGGTTAAATGTTAACTTTTTGAAAAAAAACTTCCTGAAACTGCCATTTTCAGCATCTGATTCAAACGCACACAAAAAATTGTCGAAGACTTTTAAGAACTTAAAATTTTCAGTCCTTAAAAAGTGTAGTGTTTCCATATACAGTATTAAAATCAATTATTGAGTCGAGCACCAATTTTACGTGAGAGCTTTATAAAAACTATATGTTTTATATGTTATTAATTTATTATTAATATATCATATTATCATTTCGAGGTTCCGTTTCATAAGCACTTCAAAAATTACTAAAAATCTTCAAGAATGTGAAATTTGCAGTGTCACAAAAGTAACGTTTTTCCATTTCAACAGCGCTAAAACATTTTCCAAAACGAATCTCACTTTTGAAAGGGAACTTTTTGAAAACCTTCTGTGTAAAAGGTTGAAATTTCCATTTTCAGCGTTAGGTTCAAAAGCGCCTCAAAACTTAGAAAAAGCCATGTACTTTAAATTTCCGGTCACAAAACAGTGAAACTTTGTCAGAAAACATTTTTAAACAAATTATTAGTCGAGTTTCAGTTTTAAGTGGCAGTTTTTGAAGAGTTTTCGTTAAAATGTTTAAATTCACCATTTCAGCCTTAGGTTCAAAGAAACGTATAAAATTATTAAGTCTCCTAAAATTTGAAATCTTGAAACCTTAAATCTTGAAACCTTAAAATGCATTTTTTCATTTACAGCGTGCTAAAAGTAATTCTCAAGCGAGCCTTAATTTTCAATTAAAGTTTTTTGATAAAAAAAAGTTTCTATAAAAATGTTTGAAATTGCAATTTTTAGCAAGACTTAAAAATTTTCAGTGTTCAAAGAGCCAAGTTGCTCCATATAAACAGTGTTAAAATCAATTTTGAGTCACGTCTTAATTTTCAGTGGCAGATTAAAAAAAAAAATATGTTAAAATGTTTAAAATTGCAATTTGGAGCCTCAGTTTAAAAAGGATGTGAAAAATTACCCAAAATCTTCAAGTGCTTCAAAGCTATAGCCTCAAAAAAGTGCATTCGTTCTATTTCAATAGGGCTCAAACACATTGTCAACCGAATTTCGGTTTTTAGTAGCATTTTTTTGAATAACTCTTTTTAGAAAATTTAAATTTCCATTTTAAGGGCCAAAAGGAAAAGCACATCATAAATCACAGGAAATCTTCGAATATTTGAAGCTTTCAACCTCAAAAGAATGAAGTGCTCGCTGTTAAACACTATAAAAATGAATTATCTATCAACGCCCAATTTTAAGAGGCAGCGTTTGGAAAAACGCAGCCTAAAATGTTTAAAATTTTGTTGTTTTTAGCCACATATTCTGAGGCGGATAATGAAATGCGAAAAACTTTCAATAATTTGATATTTGCAGCATCAAAAGACTCCAGTTCTTTGATTTAAGCGTAACTAAAATACATTCAGTTAATTTTACACTACAGTTAAGTTTGAGTTTTGAGCAGCAGCGTTTGGAAAACTTTACGTTTAAATGTTGGAAATCGACCATTTTCAGCCCCATGCGTAAAGGCATGTAAAAAATTGCGAAAATTTGCGACCAACTGGAAAATTACAGTCTGAAACGACTACCCAAACTTTCCCAAACTACGCAATATCAAAATCAATTTCTCAGCTTGAAATCAACCTCAGGTTGAAAGTCGTGAAAAAAAATTTAAAATGTCTGCAGAAATTGTATCTTTGTAAGTTTAAAACAGTCAGTTTTCCCATTTAGAGGAAAATTAAATCTACCGCGGGTCGAACCACCGTTTTGTTTTTAAAGTTTTTGACAAAAATATCCCAGATGTTTGGAATTTGCATTTACAGCCTCTCGCTCAAACGCCCATGAAAAACAGCCAAAATTCGACACGAATTTGCATTTTGCAGCTTTAAAATAGTGAAGTTTCCTCAAATAAACGATGCCATAACGAAGTCCCGCTCTAATCTGGCATCATTCCCAGTTTGAACTGAGACCATTTGTAACAAAAGACAACTTGAAAATTGGGCAAATTCTTCAGGGAAGATTGATTGAAAGGAATGAGCGAAAAGCAAACAGTTAAACAAAAGTCGTAAAATCACACAAAAAGCAGAAAATCTGAAGTCTAAACAGTTTCGATCTGGAAAACAAAAATTCATCTGTTTTAAGTAAGTAAGACCTTTGAAAAGTGAACGCAAATAAAAAAAATAATGACGGTTTATAAAACTTTCAGAAAATATCATCATTTTGTCATGGTCTTGAAGTAGCCAGTGAAACCTGGAATTTTTTGTTATTTTTGGGCAAAATCTTTGAAGATTTTCGGCTCAGACTCAAACAATATTTCCTAATTAGTGGCCAAAATTTTGATTGCCTCTAATTGGGCTTTCGCCTGGTGCAATTGTCGGGCCCGACAGCCATTTTTAAATACTTAAGTATATGATATTGCTAACGACTTTAATTCACTCTAATTGGCCATTTGTAGGGAAATTAGCTTGATTCA